AAGGGACACAGATGAGTTTGCGTATAGAATCACATTCAAAGCAAACAAATAAAACATCAGCAATATTCAGTTATGCTATCAGCGACAGGATTTACCTGTGCCTCTTTCAACCACTCCCATAAAGTACAGATCAGTCTCCTTTGCCAGCCCAGCTTCAGTCACATGACGTGTATATGGAAATTCCTGCAAAAGAAAGGAAATATCAAAATCAGTCACACTTCTAACTAATGCTTTCTTTACATTTGAGTACAATCGTTTGACAATTTGCTTTCACTTACCAAGTACTCCTGGTAAGTGATTGTGGTCCAACGTGCCAAACGGGAAAGGATCTTGGCAGGAAAAAGGTGCTGACACTCGCTGGAGATGGGGATGATGCTGTGTTCTGATGACGGGAATACAAACAAACTTAACAATCTCTTCATTAGGATGATTCAGTGTGCAAGGTTGTAATCAAATAACACACCTAAAGAGGCAAACTGTCTGTGCAAAGCCAAGCGGGACTGGACTCGTCCCCTCAGCAGCTTCATGGTGTTCTCCATGTGGCTCGCACTCAGTGAACTACCCACGCGCACACCCTAAAAAAAAAAAAAAATTAGCAAAAGTTAACATTATACAGTTGTAACACATGCTGTATACTTGAGGTTAGCACACACGCACCTCCGAAGCGTCACTAGGAAAATGAAGTCCTCCGAGATTCTGAACCCACATGTAGGGATGGCCCAGCTCTTCCACATAATCGCCAAAGGAAATGATCCTAAAAATAACTTATAGGTTAATTCAGCCAGCTGTAATCCAGTACACACCACATCAACCATGAACATTACTTCCTTACCCGACTTTATCAAACTGGTAGCGATTAGCTGGATTGGGTGTTTCTCGTCCCTGGTCGCTGGTGTAGAGACAGCTGAGGAGAGTGTCTGACTTCAGGAGGTCCCTGGGGGGGAAAAAAGTCATTGTTAGGTTTTTTTATAAGGCTGTCATGGTCAGAGAGAGAGCCAAATCCTTACGTTTACACACATACCCTGCGCTGATGGCCGTGTTGAGATCGGTGGAGGTGGACACTTTGGTCTTGACAGTGATAATGTTCAGATTCATCAGGTAGTAGAAGTAAAGATGGAGTACACTGCCATCTGTAGACACAAGGAAGACAACACATGGTGTTACACTAATGGATTGCTATCTTAATCTTATATTCTCTCTACTCAATCTTTTCATTAATCCTGCCAGTGATAGCTCCTCTGGGTTTATATTACACTGCAGCGCATTACAGAGCAATAACAGGCCTTGGTCATAGCAGCAGCTAATGGCACCTATGGGATACCCACTACACCGATGGTCATAATTCTCGCTGCACTCCCTGCAGTCACGGTGAACTCAGTGACACATTGTCACTCACTCACACCTACACCGCTCACTTTTTGCTTTTACTGCACTAGACCGAATGCTGCAGCTGGCAGCAGTGAGGATAACTGAGGAAAGGAGGGGCTCCAGAAATAAAAGCAGAAGTCAGACAAAGAGCGGTGATGAGAAAAACTGCTTACAAGATGTTGTAGGTGCTGCAGAACTACAAGGCTGCAAGCATCTTTCTCACCTCCATCCCTCCGCCTCCCCCTCACTTCCTCCCTCCACCCCCCCTTAGGTAGAGTTACGCCTGCAATGCAGATCTCCCTATAATCTGTCACTGTATTCCATATATCGCCAGCAGAGGGAACACAAGGGTCAAGTGGTGTCATGTCACAGCCACAGTTGCTTTGTTTCACATGCCATCTGATAGGTGTACAGTTGCACAGCACCATATATATATGGTCACGTTACAAGGGTTGGAGCACAAAGGGGCTGCAAATATTTGGGTTGAAGGATGCTGTGTGAATACAGAGAATGATTTTGCCAACAAGGACATGAAGCACAGAGAAAGAGTTACCTTTACACTTCAAGTCTATGCCTAGGGACAGAGGGTGCCTCTTCAGCATCTCTCGTCTTTTATCATCCAGCTGGCCACCTGCAGTTGGCCTTCTTCTCTTCTGTCAAATGGACAATAAAAAGCAATTGAATAAAAAGACAAAAAAAAAAGAAAAAAAAAAATAAATAAAAGACGTAATTCCAGTGACATAGCATCTCTAAAATCTTAGCCCCCTGCAAGCACATTTAAAAAGAATACCGAAAGGAAGCCTGAAAAGCAAACAGTGCTCCAGATGAGCTCAAACATGGAGATAGAACAAAAGAAATACACACTGTATTTGCAATCAAATACAAACCTAAGATCCGATTACAGTCACAGAGCCATTCTCGGTAAATATTTCCCAGAACACCCCCACTGCCACTCCGATCAATAGCTGCCACTCAATGCATGACAGCTATGGCTTCAGAGACAGTTCATGTGTCCAGAGCAGTGATTTGTATACTAACTAACAATAGACCTCAGTGTCCTGAGTGTGTGTGTTCGTTCATGAGTAAAGCAGTGCCAGATACTCACAGTTTTCTCTTGCTCCTCCTCTGCATCAGAATCACTCTCATCATCTGAATAAAACCAGAATACACAGTTTTAAGTTTGTTGATGAATCCCAAAATGAGTCGTCTGTGTGTTATACATAGATTAAATGTGTGCCTTTGTACCCTGGGAATCTTCTGGAGGTTTGGACAGGGCTTTGGCCTCATCTACATCACCACTAATTGAGACAATCAGGTTCTTGTCTGCAATAAAATCAAAGCGATCCAAACTTCAATCCTTTAAAGAAAAACTAATATGTTGTCTTGGAAAACATCATTGTCTCTCATTCTTACTCACCACACGCCTGGCCATAAGCATTTGCTTGAACAAACAGGACATAGAGAGGTGGAGGCAGATGGCGGGCAATCTCCGTCTGCTTCTGAGTCTGTTCAAAAGGCATAGACAGGAACTCCTGGACTGGGAGGGAGGCCTGTGAGCATACATAGGAGGCATATGTGGTGTAACTGTTGGCACGGCAGTTAAAAATTCACCTCAACAAGTACAAAACACAGCTGAGCTTTTCTTTAGATTACAAACTATGAATTAACACAGCAATGATACCTGCATGATGGCATTAAGACCTGGCTGCAAGCTTCTCAGATGCTCCTTCTTCACCTCAATGCTCTTCTGAATTGTCTCCTTCGACGCTAGTGATTCCTTGTATTTCTCTGCCAACCTGCATCCAACAATAGACTGTTAACTAGGGATGGGTACCGGTATGATGGCACCGGTTCTGACATAAACGGTAGTAACCAGACCGAAAAGCAGCGCACATTTCGGTGCTTT